TTCACGCTTTTGACCCCCAGAACGATCTTTATTGCAATGACGAACATGCACCAATTCCCTTGGTTTTTGCACGCAGTGCTTACGAGCCCTTTCTACGTCCTTTCCCCTTTCCCTATTTCTTTCAAACTTCGTAGGCATAGTACCATCCCATCAAGGTCAGTGTTGAGGCCTTTCTTTCGCTCTACCTATCTCCAATATCACAGAAGCTACAGACTTCGTACAAATTGCTCTGGATAGGGCGAGAGAAGCTCTTTCGTTTGACACGTAGAAACATGGCATCATTGCACGCACGCACATCGTTGTGACACGATTGCATTTCTAGTTTAATTTGTTTTTGTGAGGATAAACTAATATCAGATTTATTTAGAGGTGCTCTTTAACTTTATAAATATATGTTTTATAATGTCTTTGGTTTTTACTCTCATTTTTCATCAGGAATGCAGATCGACTTGCACAGGTCTTTACAACCATTTCCTGCATTCCTAGACATGTTTGACAGTCTAAATAAATACAATGCTATAATATACAAGTTGTTCATGGATTTACAAAAAGAATGCATATCAAAACAATTTGTAAAGATCTTTTGCCAAGAGTCTGTGAATAGTCCATGTTTTTAAAGCTCTTCTTCTCATCCCCTCAGTCTGTCTGTTTTCCCACAGCATGTTTTTAAAAAAAAGATGCACCCACCACACTTATAATTTTTCTTATAAAGTAGAAAAGTATTCAATAAATTTAGTCCCCAAAGCAATGTTTTCAAGTAGTTGGATGAATTGATTAATGAATCAACACTTGTTCAACACTCTATTAAAGTAATCTGTGGGTACATAATGAATCAAATTTATTCCCAGCCTCACCGTGCACCTCCCACGCAAAGTCCGATGTCTCCACTATAGTTGCTTGATTCCTGAAAAATTCATTCATCAAATGCGAGGGTATGAATGAAAGGGCCGTCTCTGTTTATGAATTGAGGGTGTGTTATTATTTTTCCCAGCGATCTAGGCATGTGACATGAAAAGTGTCTGGCAGTGGACTAAGGGAGGGGGGGGGGATAATCAGCTTCTTGTATGATTAGTTGAAAGACATAAAGTTGTACATAATATTCATCGTAGAGAAATGATTATTGCAGGTAAAGAAGGAGGGAGATTGGGAGAGCAGAACTGAGACAGTTAAAGAGGAAGAGTTAGAGAGAGAGAGAGAGAGAGAGAGAGAAAATGAAAAGTGATTTTGAGACAGAGAGAGAAAGGAATCGGAGGAGTATGATAAGAAGGCAGGAAACATAAAACATTAACATACATGTTCATCATTAAATCACAATCTAAATCTTTACAATTCCCTGATTGTGCTATTTAAAGCCCAGCGACACTACATGATCTGACTATACAAACCGAGTTTGGAAGAATTTGTGATAGCATTGTACATGTATATGAACATTTAAACATTTTAATTTCTTCATAGCCGAGGATCTCAATAATCATATGATTAATAAAATCAAAATTTCAAGAGATTTCATGTTTTCTTAGAGGAGGAAAAGGTGTTAAAAAAACTTGATAATGGAAAGTCAAGGAATTTAGTTCTCATATTTCTGTGGGAGCCTTGAACAAGGTTCTAATGTACATGTACTTGTATTATTTTCATGTGCTACAAAATATAAATGTGATACAGCTTCTATCAATTTTTTTTGTTCAGTTGCGTGTAGATCCATGATGTACATGTACCGGTACATATTGGTCACTGTTATATGTTGGAGCAATTATGTCCTTTCTTTTTCTTAAATTTTAATGCTTATAAACATGAATGGGGATAGTGTATTTTTTTACACTTGGGGGGGAAAAAAGAAGTGGACACTATTTTATAATTAAGACTTTCAAATAGATATGTAATACAAAGTTAACTTTCATATATCAAATTCAAAATAATTCTCATATTGGGAGACACGGTTATTAAGCCTACCATATGTTGCCCCTCATCAGCAATCTCAAGACTGTTCTATGCACCTTGATTTTTTCTCAGTCAACTGCACAGTTTCAAGATCATTGAACTTAAACTGCCTGTCAAATTGTCGCCGTTTTCACGAACCGGCACAAGCCACCAAAATCCCTTCAAAATGTAGTTTTTATTTTTTTTGCATTTTTAGCATAAGTTATCAACAATCTTTCATCTCACCAAATTTCAGCATCCAAAACGCTTTAGTTTTTGAGATATCCATGGTTACACAAATGACAAAAACGACACACGAGCCAAAAAGCACGATTCATATTTTCACGAACCGGCACGCGCCGTTATAAGTCAATGGGCTGTGCCGGTTCGTGAAAATATCTTTGCGCTTACAAGACCTAGACGACGCGACACAGGCGGTTGTGCCGGTTCGTGAAAATAAAATACGCGCTAAGACAGCGCGAGCGCTTTTGTCTTGCACGTAAAGTTACATAGGAAAAACGACACAGTGGCTTGTGCCGGTTCGTGAAAATATTTTTGCTACGTAAACAGCAAAATAATATTTTCACGAACCGGCACGAGAGTCCAAAGCTTCGTAATATTAATAGTAATTGTCATTATGCTTAACAAATGGAATGTATAGAAAATACAGAATATTTTCCTTTCATTGATATGTATTTTGTGATATCAAATTTGACATGAGGCATGTTTCTGGCGAATTCAAAACGGGCTAAACGTAAAACGCGTTTTTCTCAGAATGTACTTATTTCGTTGCGCGTTGGGCTGTGCCGGTTCGTGAAAACGGCAACGAAATGATGAGTCAATATTTGTATGCTTGTACCATTGACTGGAAAAGAAGCCTTTTTTTGTTTGCAGAGAGAAAACATTTCCACAGCTTATCTTATTACTAGATTAGACTTTACAATCGTACTTTAAATCCTATTGATAAGATTGATTCTCTACAAAAATTGTCAGAAAGAGAGTGGGGAAGAGAAACCAATTGAGAAAAGAAATACGAATTTAAAGCCCTAGCTATTACCTTATAAGTTTCAAGTTTATTGATACAAATCCACAAGGTCGGATTATCATTTATCAGACACGATCAAAAATACATTAGGTCAAAATACATACTTTAGTAATGCGGTGGTCACAACCGGCAAGTGCGTGCTGTCTACGTGGGCAAAATTTGGGTATCCGTACGTGGTGAGTACCGCCTTTGTACAGATTTGGGAGCATGCAGACACACCATAGCATTTTTAGTGCACAAGGAACTTTCGCTGCGTTCGGGCTGCGGTCGGGCTACCGATTCACCCCCAGTGTGTGTGACGTGCGTTGCCGGTACTCCCTCCCTACGTTTTCAGAAAAACGTGGCGACCATGGCCTCCCCAAAAAACGTACGGACTAAAAACATGCACGGTGGGTTGTGACCAATGCTCTAACAATGCATAGTATACATGTACATAAGGTCAAAATATACATAAGATATCAGGCACATGGTTGTAAATCAATTAAAGGTAATTTAAGGTACATTACTAAGTCTTATGTAATTAAGTAATTTCGCTCTTTCTATATACATTTAACTTGTACACAGATACAACTTATGTCATAGTCAATACTTTGGAGTACAAAATTAAATTTCTCTTCCAAATTGACAAATTCATATTCATAAATGAGGGAACTATATTTATAATACTGTCAAACTGATCAGTTCTCTGCTTTTTTTAGAACTTGACAGTTCATAACGCAATGACTCTCTGTTTCTACCTTACTAAAACAAAGAGGACATATACAATTATCAAAGTCTTATCGCTAATGTCGTCCCATTCCTATCATAAGTCTACTGTTACTTATCCATATTTTAAAATAATTTAAAGTCTGGCTGCACTAGTTTGGCCAGGATGGACTAGACCTCCTGCATGGTCAATGACAGGTGGTTATCTCGATCATCAAATCAGCTTTCAATTACCGGTAACATAAGAAAAAGGGGTTCATGAGGGACCAACGGGTACCGCTTAGGCATTGTTTGCTATATAGAGGGCGCAAGTAGCTACAAGAAGGGCAGTCCCCCTTTAATAGATGGGATTTATCTATATCAAACAATAAATAATTTTCAAGTATATACATGTACCTCTTTTTAACATATCTGTAAGTTCTTAGAATCTTAGCTTACAACGAAAAACATTACAAGAGAATTTGTTCTGTTTGTGCTTATAAGTCAAGTTTCCCGACAGTTTCCTAACAGCACACAGGTACCCTCGCTACTGAGGTGTACGCTGTCGGTGTATAGCTTTTCTATGGGGGTATGTTGTGGTTTGTGCTCCAGGGAATACATGTATTACGGTAATCCTGCAGTTGAGGTTCATCTCTTGAAATGAAGGCATCAACCTAATCCTTATAAAAGCAGCTTTGTCCGAGGGCGTAGGAAGCTAAACTATGACTCTCTCTCTTGAGGATGTCTAACTCTTTACAAACATGTTATACCGTCTGTGATTTCAAGTCATTAAAGCCGCTACGTGAAGAACAATTGTACTGCATCTTTCAAGCATTTTGGTAATTGGTCTGTATGGATAGCTTTTGAAATTACTCCCATTAAGTCTTGTCATCCATAATCTTTTTACTGATTGGATCTATTCTAAAGTTATTAGGCGACATGAAATTGAACAGATTGTTTTCCTCTTAATCGACAGTTGCCTGTATCACATTTTAAAAAGCCTTGAAAGAATATGCAGAATCCATTTCAATTTTCATTCCCTTCTATTATACAGCTATTATTTTTTTTCTAGTTCTGATGATGTAATTCTGAGCAGAAAGCTGTCATTCAATTTGATAATATGAGACTCGAGCAAAGCTATAGCCTTTATATGAGTATAGCGTTACGCTAGCCAGCCAGAATTACTGAAACTTCTTTCTCAGAACTGAAATTACTGGAGAAAGATGAAACGAATGTCTACATAAATCAGTTCAAGCTTTTAAAGAAAAGGCACTTTTTTTTCTTTCTTCTCCTCTTCAGTCACTCTTGAGATGACGAATAGCAAGACATTCACGGATGGCTGTTAGGCAAGAGAGCATCAGTGCAAGGAATTGGTGTCCTCCTGTGGGGTCTCGGCCTCCACTGTCATTGGAAGCACATCATCTAGGAATGCCTCTCGGAGTGATTCTGGTGTGGTGACATGGCTATCAGGTATGAGACCAACATATCTGCTCCTCTGGAACAAGAATGCCAGGATGAGAGAAAGGGAGATCTCTTATGTTAATTTCTATGTCAACTTCTACATTAGGTTCTTTGTTTAGTTCCAGAGTCAATTATGATTCAAAATCAGTATCAATTGAAGCATTCTTCTCAAGTTCTGTCTTTCCTGGAATTTTTTTTTTCCTGTTTCTCTTACTTTTACAATGATCTAACCTAGATTGAATTAAGGCGTGACAAGTCATAATATCAATAAATCTACAAATCCTCCATATATTCAAGAGATCATAATTGCAATCACGCATTTCATTGTTTATCGTAATTAACGGTGTATAAACCGCACCTTTTTGCCGCCAAAAAAAAATCAAAGTCGGGGGTGCGGTTTATACAAGGTACACCAAAAAAAAAAAAAAAAAAAAAAAAAAATTTAAGTTTCGATTTATTCCCCTCCACCTGGCGCTATGCCTGGCAATGTCTCCCAGCTCAGTAATCGGTGTGTTGACTCACCACTCAGAAACTAGAACAACACTCAAATTTTTTTTTTTTTTTTTAAATTTTTTTTTAGGGCGAAAAAGAGGGGTGCGGTTAATACACGAGGTCGGTTTATACACCGTTAATTACGGTACATGAAACAATAATGTGAACATGGTATTGATGCATACCCCAAGATCTGAAACTTTGTTGTCGTCTTCTTCTTCGTCAGGCAGAGCGGCAGATGGGACGATTGCTGAGAGGAAGGCATCGTCAGCATCCGTAGGGTGTTCCTTCAGTGCTACTTCTACTGTTATGGGTAAGTGTTCTGTACTCAACAGATTTCTCCGGGGTGCTTTCATGGGACGCTTGTCAGGTATGAGACCCTGGTATTTAGTACTGGTGGTAAAGGATCAAAAGTGAATAAAAGCATTTTTTTATGTGTTTTTTTGCAAGTACTAGCCAATTTTCTTATTACATAATATTCAAGGCTTTGGTTTTGCAAACCCAATAAAAAACACATGCACACATTCAAGTATGGTACATGTTTTTCACCAAAGAAGTTTTGGCTGCTCTGTTCAGGTGTAGGGGGAGGGAGGGAGGGAGGGGGAGGGGGGAGGGAGGGAGGGAGGGAGGGAGGGAGGGAGGATGGAGGGAGGGAGGGAGGGAGGGAGGGAAGGAGGGAGAGAGAGAGAGATACAGTATAGAGTGGTCAAGTGTGAGGTCATCAAAAAAGGGTTTTAGAGTTTCCAAATTTGAACTCCATATTCCGAAAGAGCATTAAAAAAAATGTCCAATTGATGAAAACCAAATATGTTAAATATTGGCTGAGATATGCCTATCCGATTAAATAGATTTCAATGAGAAAACACTGTTATTTTGCTCTGGTTCGTTATGTTGTGAACCAGAGCAAAATAATTGTGATTTCCTAGAATGTCCTATGATGTCACAGCTTCAGTACTCTATATTATAATTCAATTGTGAAGGAAAGGGGGATTGGCCATTTGCCAAGTCTTCTGCTTCAACCCGAAACTTACATGCTGGAGGCAGGCTACTCTGTTAGCTCCCCAAGGTCATTGAGGATAAACCTTTGTGTTCAATTTAGTTCATGAAGTTCAATTTAGAGCTGTACAGTATTGCTTGAAATAAAGCAACACTCTCACACTCTTTCATGTATTATTCCATAGACCGGTATATGATTAGTGGCATCATGAAAACATCTATGACATGACATTGTAGTGTAATCTCAAGTGTACCGTATTCCATATTCCTTATGAAACACCGAAAATTAGTTGGTTTACCTGTCGGTGGTCCCTGTTTTCTCTTTGTCAGGTAGCTCAGCTGAAGTCTTGGAGGTACTCCTGAGAAGAGGGGCTCCACCGCCATCAGAAACACTATCATCTGATGTGTCACATGTACAGGGACATGTTTTTACAGGTAGGCTCACTGGTGTGGTACGTGTAGCATTTTTTCCAGGACGCAATCTTTTACTCTTTCGCACCATGATGTAACGTACCTACATACATGTGTATTGAGGAGAAAATGAAATATAACTCAGTGAAACCCTATCTTTTTTGTTGATACAGCTCAAAGAGTGGAATATATACAGCATTTGTTTTCAATGGTCATAGGTTTCTATCTTTACTGCAACAACAAAAATTACAATTTGACAGTAAAAAATACAAACACACTAAAACAAACACCTAACAGGAAAACAACAAAAAACCCAATAATCCCTAACGGAGGGAAGTAACTCTAACCCCTGACAGGAAAAAAAATCAAAAAAATGGAACTCTTACCGTGACAGGAAACAAATCCAAAAAGTGGAACTCTCACCCTGACAGGAAACAAATCAAAAATATGAAAATCTAACCTTGACAGGAAACAAATCCAAAAAATGGAACTCTAACCTTGACAGGAAACAAATCCAAAAAATGGAACTCTAAACCCTGACAGGAAACAAATCCAAAAAATGGAACTCTAACCTTGACAGGAAACAAATCCAAAAAATGGAACTCTAACCTTGACAGGAAACAAATCAAAAAAATGGAACTCTAACCTTGACAGGAAACAAATCCAAAAAATGGAACTCTAACCTTGACAGGAAACAAATCCAAAAAATGGAACTCTAACCTTGACAGGAAACAAATCCAAGAAATGGAACTCTAACCTTGACAGGAAACAAATCCAAAAAATGGAATTCTAACCTTGACAGGAAACAAACCCCAAAAATGGATCTCTAACCTTGACAGGAAACAAATCCAAAAAATGGAACTCTAACCTTGACAGGAAACAAATCCAAAAAATGAAACTCTAACCCTGACAGGAAACAAATCAAAAATATGAAACTCTAATCTTGACAGGAAACAAATAAAAAAAAAAAATGAAACTCTAACCCTGACAGGAAACAAATGAAAAATATGAAACTCTAACATGATAGGAAACAAATCCAAAAAGTGGAACTCTAACCTTGACAGGAAACAAATCAAAAATATGAAACTCTAACCCTGACAGGAAACAAATCCAAAAAATGAAACTCTAACCTTGACAGGAAACAAATCCAAAAAATGAAACTCTAACCCTGACAGGAAACAAATGAAAAATATGAAACTGTCACCCTGACAGGAAACAAATCCAAACAATGAAACTCTACCCTGCTTTTTTTTCCCCCACATGCTTTGGGCATTTTTTGGTGGCGATATTAATAGTTTTTGTGTATGTGACAATGAAAACCGCTAAGTAGCTTATTACCCAGTGCTGAGCTTCCATGATGAAACGCTCAAACCTTGCAAGTATTATTACCTTGCCATTCCTTTTATTCCAGATCTGTCATAGGAAAAGCTGAAATCATTACAGCCCTGACACACAGATGGATGAAATGGTCCTTAACATCGTATGTCCTTAGATCAATAGGCATTCATACATTAACTTACTTTTTGAGATCATGGAAATCTTTGTCAGGTCTGTGCCTGTAGCACGGGTGAGGGATCTACAATGAAACTGGGGTTCTAAGCAGGCCTTTGCTACAATGTATAACTACATTCTTGAATGCTGGATGCAAAAATTAATTATACTGTCTAATGTTATATATGCAATCACACAACCTTGAGAAAATGGCTAAGGAGAAAGAGAATTTATATTTTAATAATTGATACTTACTTTTGGAGAATAGCAACCCAGGTAGAATTGTGAGCTGGGTAGAACCAAAAAAGAGTAAGTGCGTATACCTCTGGTTCGTGATCTGCGTAGCACACGGAGCGACCGACCAGCTGATCTTTAGAAATATTGTCTGTTGTGCGTTGTCTGTTGTGCCATATATACTCTACCGGTATATAGTTCAATGATTATTAGTCAATTGAGCGCACGTGGGCACACACTTACCGTATTGTGTGCGAAGATCGAAGCATTGTCACCGTGCTTGTGTACATCTTAACCAGCTTAAATTCCAACACCTTTTTTCTGCATTCTTTATGATATTCTGCAACCTGTTTATTTTCATATGTTTCGGAAAGCCATGTAAACAGAGAAATATTGGTACGTTTTACTTATATTTTAGAAATTACAATCTCTGTTTAAATTTTTTTTTCATGGTATGTTTAAAGATTACTGGTATATTGGACAATTCATCCTTCAGTTGCATCATTAGTATTCAAATTTGTTTAAAGATGACTCGGTTAATTATGTATTTCGCCAGTAATATTGAAGAAGAAAAAAAAGATATTTGATATGAGTTGAGTCTTATCAGGAAAAAAGAAAAAGAAATGCACTTTAGAAAATGAAAAATACAGATACACTGTATGAAGGAAAACCTTTTTATTTGCAAGGATTTGTATGAAACGGTATTTGTATGATAAGACTAAACAGAAGCCATGATATTACAAGAGGAAAAAGTTCCAGCTGTTCCCTCTTTCATGATGTCAAATATGATTTGTGAGCCAATTTTGAATATCAAGAAGGAAATGAAACCGCTAAAAAAAGTATTGAAGTGCTTAAAAATATCTTTTAATCTGGAATTCGTAAAAATGTTAACTGTAATCCAGTTGATATTTCATGTGGACTCTATAGCTACTGTTAAATATCAAGTATCAAAATCTTTTTTGATGTGTCACCATCCCAACAAAATTTTGGTGACAAGATTGTCGACAAGAACACTAGTAGGAAGTCAAATGACAAAGAAGTGAAGGTCAGTTGAAAAAAATATTTCTATGCATCCTTGATTCTGTTGAGAACAACATTAGGAAGCAACTGTACTGTACTATTTTTAGGTTAAATGCACTTTTGATAAACAATCCTGCAACCAGTACATGTCAATTGTTTGTGTTGAACATGTCTCCTTCAACATGTACATATATTTGTTCTCTCAATTCACCAATTCTGTTATTTCTGCTTTTGTCTCATTCTAGATCTCTCTCTCTCTCTCTCTCTCTCTCTCTCCATCCCCTTTCTTATCTACCTCCTTCCTTCCCTCTCTCCCTCCCACTTAAGGTATTTTTTATTTACCATCTACCTTTCTTTCTGTCCTTTTGAAAAATTCTGTTCCGATATTTTGCTGTCCAAAATAATATCTTAATTTCTACATGTTCATATTCTTGTGTAGTATTTGTGTACATTGTAAAATGTTCATAGTACATGATCAATCATGTCCATTATAATGATAAATGGCGGCGGCGAAACCAAAGTATCCTCCAGCATAATGCTGTTGGGTAAACTGTTAGTGTACTGGTACAATTAATAATAATAATAATAATAATATGTCTTGTTCACCCAGGGTAGCCTCATCATCATTCATTCTCCCTTAGGGCCCTGCAATAATAAATATAATAGATGTTAATCTCTTCACAGAAAGCGTTTATTCCTCAGCTCATCCTGTGTAGAGAACAATACAAATGCTCCTTTGGGATTTGAATTTGGCCCGCTGTTGCATTGTGCAAGAATAAAACCCACAATCTGGAGGGAGCGGGAGAGGGAGAGGGTGAGGGGGAGTTGCCTCTATACATGTAGTTTGCAGGCACAGACACTCATAGCCATAGTGTGTATTATAGAGTGTGTGATGATTAGATATGTTTAACCAGTACAATTAAGAAATTGACATTGTCCTTAAAATCTACTTAAAACCAACCTCAAATCTTTCTCTAAAAATAGAACTAACTGTACAGCCATTTCTGCCTACAAGCATTTGCCAATCGGATGGAGAAAAACAAAAGAAGAGACAAATCTGTAATTCTTCAGGTTCAGTCGGTCTACATTCGGTTACGTTCTCCAATTTCTTCTTTTGGCTAATTGCGGTATCTATCTGTGTATATTCATACATTATTTATGAAATATTTGCCAGCCAACCTTATGGTTAGCAATTGTGGGGCCTCAGATACTAAAGAAAAGAATTTTGTTATTATTCAAATCAATATTTATCACTCTATTCCAATAGCATGTTAGAGCTGTTTTTGACCAAGACAAATCAGCTGATTAATAGGAAAACCCATCCAGAAGCATGACGTGAGACAGTAGCAGAAATAGGTGTCGCAACCTTCAGTGAATATCTTACAGCTATTGCCAATCCTTCGAATTACCCATCTTTGCCTTTCCACATTGTAATACACATGGACCTTCCTCCATTCATTGTGAGAGAATTATTAGACATGATAAGTCAAAGAGTGGAAAGGAACACTTTAAAGGGATCATGTAACACTGTTAAATCTGAGATGCATGGCCCTATGTGTTATCGGTGTCTGTGATATGGTGTTAAATTGAAGCCCTAAAAAAATTGAGATTCAAAATGATCAAGAAGTGCCTCAAAAAAGTGAAAATCTTTGAGTGACCGGTTTTACCATACTCATTTTCCTCAATAGACTGTAGTGTTATGAAAACCGTTTGTCAAATGCAAAATTTGATTTTGATTTCCAATCATAAATATCTTGAAATATACTTGTTGAACACCTTCACATACATAACATGTGTTCTCTGCCAAACAACAACCGTTGATGGATTTTATTGTTCGTCGCATGACAAGAATGCAGGAAATTGACCCACTGAGAGCACCATTGACTCATAGCAAATAAAATTTGAAGTTTTCCACACCCATTAATCAGACTGTAACTACGTGATTTTTATTGCATCAGTGATCAATTTTTTCAATGTCATTGTGCACAATGTTTAGAACACCCTCCCCGCTACTTCACTATTGTGCTGTATGCCGTGATCTGTTAAGCTATGCTATCTGAGTGTTTTCTATGGCCTTGGGAATTGGCAGAGGCTTTGATGTTTTGGCCTATGTATTATATTTTTTTTGGGGGGACACGTTCCTTTTTTCACCGTGTTTGTCGATATAAATGCAGCTACGTGTATTATCTCTCGGATCGCTTAAATGATTAATTGCACAGACGGCCTGTATAACAAAAAAAAAATCATTTAAAAGCGGAGCTAAAGAGGGCTCGGGGTGGGAGAAATATATATATATATATATAGACATTTTTGTATAGCACCATTGTTTATTATTAAAAGAACTCATGAAGCTGTAAGGCTTGTGTTTAATTGTGTTTTTTAATTTTTAAAATTCATGGTGAGAATGAATTTGACAAAAACGAGCCAGAGAAAAAATGTACTTGAGTAGGAGAGATGGAAGCTGAGAAAGAAAGACAGACAGAGACAGACAGATGCAGAGAGAGAGAGGGGGAGAGAAAGATCGGCTCGTTTAAATCAAGGACTCTTTGTATTTGAAGAGACACCATATTTGTAGTAATGTAACATTTGGAGGACGATCTTGAAATTTACTGCTTAGTAGAGGACCTACATTTTTCAGAGCAAATAGAGCACGGGCCTCGGGTTTTCGTTATGCAAGTGGTTGTCAAGTGAAAAGAGTGGTTGTCAAGGGAAGTCCTCGGTACCCACCCACTCATCCACAAACAGAGACAGAGACTAGGCGACAGAGAGACAGGAGAGAGAATGTTTGTGAGAGAGAAGCTTGGTGTGTAGAATTTGAATCATATATTACTTTTTTTTCTTTTAAACAAAATTAAAAGATTGAATGGCAAAAAAGGTAAAAAGTTAACAATAAACCTGCAAGATTGTTTGACAGAAATGATTGGAAAATTGAACAATAAAGCTACAAGGCTGTTTGGCAGAAAAGGCGTGAAACCGTTAATACTCTGTTATTATTGGAGGACAGTGTACATATCTGTTATTCGCTCCCTTTGTCCTAATTCTACTCCGTGTGTGATCCGTGCTAATTCTTAAAAGAAGTGTGTCAATAGTGATATCAACAAAACTAAAAGATTGAATGGCAAAAAAGGGAGGAAAGTATTTAACTACAAGGCCTTGTTGGCTACATGAAAAGGCGGGAAACTGTTCATCTCTGTTTTTCGCTCTCTTTGTCCCTCTACTCCTTGTGTTCTATTTTCATCTTTGTGCTGGAATTCTTAAACGAAAAATGATTTCCCCCGTACCACCATGTCCGGTCACAGAGCAGAAATCGATGAAGCAAAACAAGAGTTCAGGTGAACTATATACAGATTGAGTTTGGAGGGATAAAGAGACATAATGAAAAGGATATGAGCAATATATATTGTATGCAGAAAATGTGGGAATAGTGAAGAACAAAATTAAAACATCACTGATGGCAAACAAGGGTAGGATAGTTAGCAATAAAACTACAAAGTTTTTTGGCAGAAATGGCGGGAAAACAGGCAATAAACTACAAGATTGTTGGGCAGGAAAAACAGAAAATTTTAATAATAAATGATTGTGTGGCAGAAATGATGGGAAAAATGAACAATAAAACTACATAACTATATGGCAGAAATCATCGGGCGGGAAAAGTTAACGATAAACCTACTAAATTCTATAGCGGGGAAAGTGAACAATGAAATCGTTTGTTTGGGACAGTTACATTGTGTACATAATGTATTGACAGGAATTGACTCTCCCATCCAGGGAAAATGGCAGAAATAGAAGAAAAAAAAAAAAAAAAAACTGACGTCCCGAATCCGTCGTCAAAGGGAAGTTGTTCTTTTGAGTGTCCTCGGTATCCACCCACATACAAAGACCATGCAGCAGAGAGAGAACATATGAGAGGGAGCAGCTTACCATGGTGTGAAGAATTTGAAACAGTAACATCACATTTTTTCTCTCCAACAAAATTATAAGATTGAATGGCAAAAAAGTTTGGAAAGTTAACAATAAAACTGAGGCTGTTTGGCAGACTTAGAAAAGAAGGGAAACCTCTACTTTCTATTATTGGAGTACATATCTGTTTTTTGCTTCCTATGACCCTAGCTCTACTCCTTGTGCCCTCTTTTCATATTGCTTTGTGCTAATTCTAAAGAGAAATTTCCCCCGAACCACCATGATTGTTTGGTCACAGAGCAGAACTCGTTGACGCAAAACAAAAGTTGAGGTAAACAATATACATTTACCATTTGGCGGGATAGAGAGAGACATAATCCAAAAGATATGAACAATAGAACTACAATGTTGCATGCGGGAAGTGCGGGAACAGTGAAGAACAAAATTAATAGATTCAATTCAAAAGTTAACAAAACTATAAGGCTGTTTGGCAGAAAAGGCGGGAAAACAAGCAACTGAACTACAAGATTGTTTGGCAAAGAATGCGGGAAAAGTTAAAATTATACAAGATTGTTTGGCAGAAATGGTGAGAAAAGTGAACAATAAAACTACAAAATTCTATGGCAGAAAAGGCAGGAAAAGTGAACAATGAAATTGATGGTTTAATTGGGACAGATACAATCGGTACATATTATATATGGGCAGGATTCAACTGCTGTACAGGTGAAATGGCATGCAGGAAAAGAAAACGGCAAAAGTTCATGCTGGTTGCAGTCAATGAAATTGTATTTATCACATGGTTTTTCTATCCAAATATTCATTCAGAGAAGTGATGGATCTAATTCCAGTATGACAATATTTTTATATAAGCTATTCTTGTACAGGCAATAATGTACAGACACTTAGAAAGCCTATGCTTATCCAACATATTGTAATGGAACTATTACATGTATAGCCGTTAAATCGTATGTGTATGTTTGAGAATCGAGACACACACGTTTGGGGGAATGTAACTGCACAAGGACGATCTGCATACACCAGAATGTGAGAAAAGTCAATGATTTTTGCTTTTAGTGTAAATGCAGCTGTCTCTCTTTATCGGTTTAAGAATAACAGAGCAAACTTTGATAGAGTTGTGTTACTATTTTCTTGATCTTTGTTTTATAGAATATAATTTCTGACCTCTTTGACATTGGCTAATACTGTGCAATATTTTAATCCTCTTTTAGTGCCTTTTTTTTGTCTTTTCCTATTAATTGGTACTTGTTCTCTCTCTCTCTCTCTCTCTCTCCTCCTTCTCTCTATGCTTCTCCCTTCCTTCTTCCACCCCTCCCAGCGCTTCTCCTTCATCCCCCCTCCCCTCCCTCAACCCTTCTCTCATCCTTCACATAATACGTGTCATGGCAGATCACAAGACAAGAAAATAAATAATCTGAATTGAGAGATTTTCTGTTCAGCAAGACAAAAACTTTTAATGCAGAAACCATTGATACAGCTCGAAACACGCAAGAGTACACATGATTACAATGCTACAACTTGCAAGTTAAGACATCGAAGGACAAATGAACCCTAACAGTCCTGTGCCTCTCTCTCTCACACACAGTCTGAAATACAAACCTTAATACAGACATACAACAGGAGACACAAATGCATGCATCCACACACACACACACAAAACGCTTGCAACCATGCCAAACCATTCGCTTTATCTTTGGTCTCTCCTTGCTTTCACATTACTCCATTTTACAGTCTTTCCATCTCTCTCTCTCTCTTTCTCTCTCTCTCTCACCCACACACACACACACATGATACTAGTCACACTCCAAAAGCAAACGTATATCATCTATATATTACACATTCTATTGAATTCATTTTCGAGAATTGGGTAAAATACAATTTTTGTCCCTACCACAATTTTTTTCACTTTCTGGAGCTCAGATACAAAGATCATGATTCCATACATCAAATAACAAATGTGTTTTCTGTTTGAGAATCTGAGGTAAAAATGCATCACGGGAAATGAGGTCCAATTTATAGAACTAACCATGAATCGGAAGAAATCCCTGCTTTTAAACAGAACCATTGTCATTTTTCCAGTCATAAAATCAGAGTAAAATCTTCGGTAATTTCAACACGGAAACGTGTTGTCAAATTGCACGTTCATATGAGTAACATGTACAACAATGTTATAAGAGCAGCCCTGTATATAAAATTTGGTGATTTCCTTTTTAAAAATAAGAGAACTTCAACACCGTTCTACAGATAATATAAGAGAGATTTTTGTCCCTTTGTTTTGCAATTTAAAAATGGTGAGTTATCCTGGATTTCTTTTTGCAGACAGTACTTTTATAGCTATATTTCCATTCAATGCCTGTAAGAACAAAAATGAAGACAGAACAAACTTTGCTGCTGATAGTTAAATAGTGGTATTGCATTGGACTACAGTATTTCGCCATAGGAGGCAGATGCATAATTTCACACACAATGATCTACACACGTGGGACTAGGCCTATTTGAATATAAAGCCTGCCAATGCAATGAGTATATTATGGAGCTTGAATTGCGAATAACCTAGGCATGTTCATAATTTTATGCATATCCTTCACCCTTGGTGGTTTGTGAATTAAGAAATCAAAGCAGAGGATCTATGAATTTTAAATCAGAAGGTAAAGAGGGACTTCGCAAGTACCCTAACCAAAGATTCTTCCATACAGGAAAACAGTTTCTATTACCGCTACGAGGCGATGCATCGCAGAATCCACCAAATTTGTGAGAATCTTAAAGTAATTATGTACAGATGAGAACGGAGAGCTATTTACAGCAACGTCTTACGCACATATATATGACTTTCGACAATGGAACAAGTTAAACGCTGAACCTTTTGCACATATTCTTCAAACATTAGACAATGATACTTCTAAAAAGTAGCTTAGATTAAACCTGAGAACAGAGAGTTATCTTTCTTTTTTTTTAATCTTTTTTTTTTCTTTTTAGTTTACATCTAGTTATACACATATTACACACAGGAGAACATTGAAAAATATACATTTTGGAAAAAGATCTCTTCAATAAATAAGTGATGGGAATTCAAATTCATAAAATTAAAAATCAAATAAGTGAAATACTTTAAATTTATAGCGAAATTCATTTTAGACTTCATATTGTTGAAGGAAAAAAAAAAAATCATAATTTGCACTATCTATGCATATTGTGACTGTATTCCGTTCATTGTCGATACATCCTCAAGAAGGGGATTGTCTTGACCCAGTCTATCGCTTCAAGGAAAAAGAGCAAGGAGGGAAAAAAAATAATAATCTCGCACAATCTGCATGATATAGGCTGCTTTCACATTCCTGATGTAGGTAGAAAGGGATAATGAGACTGCCTTGAATAACAAATTTCGGTAAAAGGTGACTCAAAATATGAGAAATTCATAATCAACGATCCCAGTCAACTTTTAGGTGTTGTATGGATATAACACGGCGAACCGCGCCGTTCCTTTTATGATGGTAAGCATAATAAGCTTTACGTTTCTGTTTCTTATAACACAGTGCTCAATGAATACGCATTGTTCTTGCTCTGAGTTGCCATTCATTTACCTGTCTAAAAAATTGCGGCGGTTCTTTTGCCCTAGTTAACCATATCACATCTTAACAAGCCTTAAATGTTTATGAATATATCTTCTGGTCGGTCTTTGTATACCATGGATAGCAAAGAACTCAATTTCTTTGTATAGAGTTGATTTATAGTGCATCATATAACATCAACTTCTGACCATCTTCAAGAGTTTGTAAATACAAATTTGTCAACTTAATAAAAATCAAATGGCTTTTAAAAACACCCACAAAGAGGGAGCACTTCTACTTTATCAAGAGCAGATGGTGTTGCCTTTATGCACTACATCCTCTTGTCGAGATTTTGAGGTAAATGTTCTCAAATATCAGGAGCGAGACACTCTCTAAAATGTCCCTCTCCGTCACAGGCAACCACAAATTATTCCTTCTTGACTTTACGCTGCTACAACTTTCCTCGCTCTTTTCGCAGTCTGGCGACCCTGGTCATCTAAAACACTAGAGTTCAGAGAGCCAATTCATCAAAATCTTGCCTTTAATTTCCTTCTGTCTATAGTATACATTCCTAGAATCATTTCAATCTTCCCATATTGCAATCAAAATAACAGTTAATACCTCGGCCTCTCCTCTTACCCATCCTCTCACATACTTATATACAACAAAACAGGTCCTTCGAACAAGCTTGAACATGGATGTTAAACAAACAAACAAAAAAATAAAAGCACTGAGCTTTTTATTACCACAAATCTATTAAATAAATAACCATAACAATGCAAAAAAAATCAATCTGTACAACTTTTAAGAAAAAATAAAATTGGGTGGGACAAATTTTAAACTGCTCTCTTGGATGAAGATGGGTAAAAAGTAAGAAGACTTGCTTTGAAAAGGAACCAAAGTTTATCAAGTATATATACATCCCATGGGTAATTCTGAGACACATTTGAAATATCAGGAAAACATGTTCAGTCTCATCGAAGTTCCTTGGACATTAAATAGCTGTCTGGGATTTTTCAAGATTATGAACATCATATCTTGAATTGATGAGGGAAGATTCATAGAGAACGAACTTGCTTAACTTCTACGTCACAGAGGTAAGATTGGGTTTTACAGAAAAACTGAGTTTCTGTCCGATGCGAGAGACTCACAGTAGACCCCTAGATTACACACACTTCCACAAAATGAAATAATATTTGGCTGTTCCTAGTCTTAACGTCTGACTGAACATGAATTAAACATTAACACACAATATCCCATAATTCACAGCGAAGGGATCGTCTCTATCCCGTGCATGGTGTCTTCAAAAAGATTTTTCTTTCTCCATGAATAACTCATCAGCAATCCAAATCTAACCGATTAAAGACTGTTCCTGATTAGCTAGACCTGCCTGAGTATGGATGAGACGCTGTCAGTGATTGGTCGAGACAGTAGTGGTGGAAGGAGAGGAAGCGGAGGAGGAAGAGGAATGCTCAAAGAGGCTTGGCGACAGCGTGGCTGACAGTCGCACCCACAGGTCATGCTTGCATCGAGGCAACCTTCTGAGGGACTGGATGAAGTCCTTGAACTGTGCCTGCCCACCTGCCTGCATCGAGAAGGCCTTCTGTGCACTCTGGACCACGCTGATGAAGTCATCGTACTCCGGTGGCGTGATGTGATACATCCTTTGATGGATACACTGTATGTACATCTGGACACACTTCTGTACGATCGGACTCAGGATGGGGGAGCGTAGATTGGCCTGCACCGATGTGTGGTTCATAGACGCCAGGTAATGCGCAGCCTCCCATGTTATTGTATGTAGAACAAACGGACTCACTACGACGCTTAGTACACATGCACAGAACTGTTGAACATAACTTACACCTGCAGGTGGAAAAAGAAGAGAGAGGAAGGGTAAAAAAAAAAAAAATTCATACATGTACAAGTAGGTCCAAATTAAAGATAAAGACCAGTTATGGTCATGCAATTGCATTGTGAAAGAACATTGTGGAATCTATCAAAAAAGGTTGAGCATCTAGCATATAAGTATTGGTGTGTACTGCAAGGTTCTGGAATCATCAAAATGATAAGAAATTTGGCCCAGTCTTGGTAAAGTTACAAGCACTGTGCACAGAAAGATTTATCATGGAACTACGCGACACATGCGCGCACGTTCCAAAACTCATCTTTACCTTTAACATGCAATAAACAAAGAAGATATTTGATCAGAAACAAAAGAATTATTCCTTGTAAGTTTTCTATTACATGAATATATTCATGGTAGACTGAGAAGTACTAGAAATGTTATACTAAAACAAGTGCTGATGAACTAGATCAATTCTTAGTTTATAAAGCAAACTTCAAAACCACCAGATCAATATGTTACTAACTTGATCCTTAATAAATAGACATGTATACAGTTGTAAAAAGTATAAAGAGAGTAAGGTTACAGAGAAGCATGACAAAGTGGCTTAAAATCTATTTCAGAAATACATCTGGCAAACTAATAAAAAATTGAATGACTTAAAATGTTTTGGATAATCTTGGATGTAGAAAGTGCGCAAAAGACTGAAATGAATAAGATACTTTAAAATTATGTACGAAGGTTGACGTGGAAGACTTACCTAATCTTTTAGCAATCTCCATGAGCCACTTGATGTCTTCACCGTACGGAGGATTGGGTGAGAACCTTGACTGTGTCCTCTCGTCGTGAACTCTCCTAGCCAGGGTATCGATACCCAACATGCCAACCCTGTAGGTGGCATGAAGATAGAACAGTCCTGGATGCTGCTGTGGGGCTATGGGTTGGGCCATGTTGGGGATGGGTTGCATCGGGTGCTGCTGCTGCTGCTGCTGCTGCTGCTGCTGCTGCTGCTGCTGAGGCATCACGTTGGGCCTGGCATGGATGATCGTCGGGGGCATCGGGTACTGGATGATGGGTCGCTGAGCCATGACCTGTCCAGGCGGAAGCTGCATGATCTGCGTGGGCTGGAAGGCCGTGCGGGGTACGGACACGGCCATCCCAGGCATGGCCACGTTGGCGTTGTAGGGACACGGACCGTGGTACTGGTGGTGAGGAAGCCACTGCATGTTGTGGGCATCTTGGGGCATCGGAGGCCGATGCTGCAGCCTGTGGTCTCCGACCGGCATCGCGTGAGGTGCGTTGCCAAATTGATGCCTTGCCATGTAGGGATCAACGGCAACATACTCCTGGTACTCGGGATGATGGTACACGATAGGTACCGCATGAGGCTGAGCCAACCTGTACGGAAGACCAACCACGCGTTGCTGTGGAACAATACCCCTGACAGGCGCGTTCACAAACGGCACCACAGGTCCGATCTCTTCTCCGGTCCCCTCGTCGGCCGCTACCACCTTGTCTTCGTCAGAGTCATGGTGCTGATGGTGGTGGTGCTGGTGCCTTTGGTTGCTATGGTTACCTTGTCCAGTGGAGTTGTCATGAAGCCACTCCCATTGCTTGGCGACGTTGAACAGGACTTCTGGGTAGACGTCTCCACCCTTGGCCGCACTCTCCACAGCAACACATGCCTTCTGTAACATCATGATGTCTTGCTCCTTGCACTGAATGGGAGATGATATATTGTATAATGGTATATTTGTAAAAGAAAGTCCAGTTCAGATTTCACAAGCTAACCCAAAATTATGAAGACACAACCATATCTGCCATATAGTACTTTCATGATATGTAAAAAAAGGAATCATGGGATAAATCAAATTAACTCTCCTAAAAAATGTGGATCAAACAAAAAGAAAAATGTACATGTGATGATTAGTTAACTCATCCATTTCCATCGATTTTAATCACAGATCAACATTACTTAATGTAACTCTGAAAATCAGATTATCTTTCTTTCATTTAAAAAATGGATAACTGAAAAAGTGGACAACATCAAATTTAGCTTTGAATAGGTCGTGCATATTACTAGCACTTTGAAAGTGGAAAGGGGGAAAAAGTACAAACTTCCCTTTAACATAGGAAACATTCCAGACCACACTTTTCTCGAATAAGATTTTGAGCAAGGAGATTTCAGATTTTAACAATGATTCTAAAAATGCTAACCTGCATGAGTGCCCTGTTCACATCTGTTGGGTTCAGAGCGTGGGCGTGGCTAAGACAAGACAGAGCCAGTTGGGCTGCTGCTCGCACCATGTTGGGGTCACGACCTCTGGAGGCCCTGTCAGCCAATGAGGCGGCTTCTGTAGGTGTAAGGTGCCCCTCCCATGTCTCCACCAGCAGGTTGATGGCTGCGCTTCCGATCTCCATTGCTTGGCCTGAACACAAGAGGGAGGGATGTATGAAAAAAGATTCAGGATGGTTGGTTTGTTTTCCATGACTGCTATTAAATAAACATGTGTTTGCTTGTATGTAAGCAACAAGGGGACCTATGGCTTTAAGTCCTCTCTGAGTGTCTTTGAAATGAAGATAAATGCCTTACCACAGGGCACTAGCACATTGAATTGGTTTCTGACCCAGAACCTCCACGTTACGAGACTACAGCTCTACCACTGAGCCATTGTGCCTCATTAAAAAAAAATATTACGACAGGAGCTTCTACAGCGATTAGAATGTATAGTTAAACTCCCATACATAGGACCATGATTAGAATAGTTTCCCCACAAGAATTCAGTATTTAAAGCAAAATATTTCCTTGGTTTATTCATGGTGCATCAAGAATGCTCAGGTTGTGGAAATTGGCTCTTCCAAGAAAAAGGTTATATACAGTCAAACCTGTCTGTAGTGACCACCTATGGGAAACACAAAAAGTGGTCTATGTAGACAGATGGTCACTAAAGCAGGTTTGACAGTACTAACAAATAAGAGTCTTTCACCAGTTTTTTAATGACCATTTTCATAGCAACAAACAAAGCAAAAGGTTTGGAAAGTGCTGAAGGATCTGAGCAAAATGAATAAAAGAAAGCAGCGGAATTTGAAGAGAAGGAAACACTCTGGGTTACACCAACCTGTAATCCAGGAAACATGAGAAGAATACGTCCTGGAGAGCCAGTTGGGTGTGACCGCATTGTGAAGTCTCAGCGCGTACAGTCCTATCTCAAACGCGCACAGATGAAGGCCTCGGTGGGGCCCGGAGTGGTTGGAGTTGGTACACTCCTGGGTGAAGAGCGCCGTGCTGCTTGAACCGCCCGCCCTGTTCAGAACTGTCTTGGCCAGCTCGAAGAAGAAGTGGGCAGAGGCCTCGCTGGGCTGGTTGGGGACTGTCGGGCAGTTGTCGTTACGACCTCCTTTACGACCCCTTCTGCAGGAAATGTAGAGGGTGGAGAGGAGAATGGTGTTTAGCATCAACTTGTATGGTTTATAGACCTCATATAAGCTCATATTCCTATAGGAAATATTCAATACTTTTTCGAGATTTGGACATTATGTTTGATGCTGTTTCAGAAAATGAAGTTCAAATTGAGAAATTCTAAAAAAAAATGTTATGATGTCACAGCTTCGGTACTCTATACAAGCTTTGTTCTCATTCAGACCTCACCTGAGCTGACCTCAAATAACCCATATTGACCTTTCACCAGGTACATTATCTAGACTCACCTGTTAGCTTTGCCTGCCGCTATACAAGCCTTGTTCTCATTCAGACCTGACCTGAGGTGACCTCAAATAACCCATATTGACCTTTCATCAGGTACATTATCTAGACTCACCTGTTAGCTTTGCCTGCCGCTATACAAAATAATAATAATATTTAAGATTTATATAGCGCTGGTATACAAGTACAGTTTCTAAGCGCTTTACAATTCACTATGAATATGACTGACAAAGAAAGCGGACAGAATATACAGTTCCTCAGGTAGATAAAGGAACATCCCTTCACTGCTATTATGTACAAATGTGTTAAACAGGTGTCACATGCATATTCACCTTTTTACATAATAGCAGTGAAGGGATGTTTCTTTGTCTACATGAGGAACTGTATATTCTGTCCGCTTTCTTTGTCAGTCATGTTCATAGTGCTTGTTCTCATTCAGACCTGACCTGAGCTGACCTCAAATGACCCAACCTCACCTTTCATGAGGTACATTATCTAGACTCACCTGTTAGCTTTGCCTGCCGCTATACAAGCCTTGTTCTCATTCAGGTTCTCAGGTGCTACGGCTATGCTGACTGGGTTAGCACGCATTAGCGACACAGGTATACTTTGCCCTGGACTTCTACAAAATTGACAAAAGAGAAATAAAAAATGAGGAGTTTATTTTATTTCATTCCATTATAATGAAAGTACACTTTGTAAACATTAGAATTTATGGTTATCACATATTTTGAAAGGACTGGGAGTACTTGAAAACTATCCATAACACAGCAGATAATAACGATTACAACCACTAATAGTAAGAAATATAAATCACTCTCTAATAAAAACTTACTGATTGAAATGTAAACTTAAAGCGGGACTGCACTACTTGTAGCTACTTGCGCCCTCTATATAGCCAACAATGCCAAAGCGGACCCAATGATGTTAATTGAGAGCTGATTTGATGAGATGAGAACCACCTGCCAGTGAATACAAAGGGAGGTCTAATCCCCCCTGACCAAACTAGTGCAGAAAGGCTTTAAATCATTCATGCACATGAATCTTTCTCAAAAGTAAACTTGATAAGTAGCTTCTTGTCTTGACAAAAAAAGACAGTCTGCACCCATTTTGATACACTGTAGATTCAATATACCAGCAACATAATAGACTAAACTTGAATTCATACCAAATAGTTGTGAATCTTTACTCGAAATTACAATGAATTTGAATGTTTTGGAAAGCAATAACTACAAGGTTTGTAGTCTTACTGAAGCTTAACTTGTAAAGTCTTTGAAAAACAATAACTACAAGGCCTGTGTGAAAAATGGAAAAAGAAGCTAAGAGATCTGTGATTGTCAATGTCAAACTGTAAATTGTACTCCAGCATCATTCTACCATCTACTTACGGTTCAGCCTCCCGTAGCTTCGGCCTAGCGCCGGTTGCTCTCTCCCCTGAACTGCTGGAGCTGACCGAATCGCTGGAGTTACCGCTACTCCCGCTGTCGCTACCAGGTCCATGGTACCTTCCCCACCCCCCTGGGGGTACTCGCCTCGCTAGGGTGGGGGAATTGTCGCTGGAGGTTGTCTCAGGTGCACTGCTGTCTATACTAGCCATACCTGAAGGGATGACAAGAGCACAAATATGACTTGTAGGAATGATTAGAGGCATGCATCTGTAATATTGTTTTTACAATTGCAATGCTGGAGCTTACACTGATCCTAAATATGACTTTTACATAGAGGTGTCATGGTAGAGTGGATACGTCGCTGGACTGTCGATCACAAGGTCTGCTGTTCGACATTGATCTACATTTGCCACACTCAACCCAGGTGATGTAAATGGGTACCTGGCAGGAATTAATTCCTTGAAAAGCTAGAGCGACGTAATGGCAGCCGTGCTAAAGCCAGGGTAATAATCTCCCTCTGCACCTCAGAATGGTTTACTAGAACGATGGCGCATTACAAATGCTGTAGTATTAAATACTATATTCTAAAACTACCAAAGCCCATTTTGAGCATGAAATAAAGTACTTCTTATCAAAATTCTTTAATTGCTTCTTACTGGGATGATTGCAATCAAACTAATAAGATAATTAAAGATAAGATTAATAACTGCTGTTTCAAATGATCACAGACCATAATCAGCATCCATGTACTTCTACATGAACTACAAATAAGACTATGATGAAAATATATTTACTCAAATTTCTTGCTTTTAGTTTTATAGAAAGAATAAGCAGAAAATTACATAT